TATCATACATGTTGTTATCAATTCATTTATTGGATCTAAAGGTCTGTTGAATTCAAATATTTATTGAAATATATGAAGAATCTTCGTAATGCCATTTTTAAATGAGGGGACTAACTCTTTTTTTAAGAAGAACCCATGACAACTAATGACTAAATGGTCAGGTTAACTTATCTTTACAAAAAATGCATTGAAGGTTTTACCAGGACTTCGTAGTGAGCGAATACTACTACATGCATCAGATCAACCTTCTGACCAGTACACAAGTCCACCTAGCTGACGTGTTGTACAATGAAGGGGCACTCTTCTACTTTATGGAGTACCTTGAACAGGAAGGGGGCAGCCATTTTCTCCAATTTCTTTTAGCCACAGACAACTTTCAGCAGCATCTCATGTCTTGTGGTGGTCAGTATGATGGGATGGAGGCTCAACGGGATGCAATGGTGCTATACGACAAGTTAGTATTAAATATGGAAGCATGCAACAAATTACCATATTTGGTATAAGTTTGCATACCATAATTTGCATATACCTTGTTTAATGTCCACATGCTAATGACATGAATGACGTTTGTGTTGATACTTTCAAATGTTTTGTTATATTTTGATTACTGAGATAATAAATTTAATCAACTAAAAAAAAACTGATATCTTTCACACTAATTTTTTTTACTCATCAGAACAGCCCTTTTTATACGCCTGTCAAATTTGACGGGAGTATTATGGTATGGGGTTGTCCGTCTGTCCGGCGTTAAACTTTTGTTTGTCCAGCAATCTCCTCCTACATTGTTTGACCAATCTCTTTGAAACTTGGTTTACATTATAATTATGATATGAAGTTGTGTCTCCCTTAAAAGAATTTTGATTCAACTATTTCTGCAAAAGTTATTGCCCTTTGTTCATTTCAGTATTTGATTTTTTATCCGGAGATTTTCTCCTACATTTTTAGCTCACCTGGCCCGAAGGGCCAAGTGAGCTTATCCCATGGTGCGGCGTCCGGCGTCCGGCGTCCGTCAACTTTTTCCTTTAAAATGCTACTTGTCCTGAATGGCTCAGAGGATTTTGACCAAATTTGGTCAGGAGCATCATTGGCCAAAGGGTTCTCAGTTTTGTATAAACGGAGGGTATAACCCCCCTGGGGGCAGAGGGGCGGGGCCAAATAGGGGGAAAATAGGTAAATCTTTAAAAATCTTCTTCTTCTCAACCAATAGAAGGATTTTGACCAAATTTGTCCTAGAGCATCTTTGGACAAAGGAGACTCAAGTTTGTATAAACGGAGGGTGTGGCCTCTTTGGGGGCAGAGGGGCGGGGCCAAATAGGGGAAGTAGAGGATTTTTTCTCTCCTACTATACAAGTGAAGGGATTTAAACCAAATGCAGTCTGAAGCTTGGTCAGGAGCATCATTGGCCAAAGGGTTCTCAGTTTTGTATAAACGGACGGTATAGCCCCCCCTCGGGGCAGAGGGGCGGGGCTAAATAAGGGGAAAAAAGGTAAATCTTTAAAAATGTTCTTCTTCTCAACCAATTGAAGGATTTTGACCAAATTTGTCCTAGAGCATCTTTGGACAAAGAAGACTCAAGTTTGTATAAACGGAGGGTGTGGCCCCTCTGGGGGCGGAGGGGCGGGGCCCAATAGGGGAAATAGAGGATTTTTTTTCTCCTGCTATACAAGTGAAGGGATTTTAACCAAATGCAGTCTGAAGCATGATTAGGGACAAAAGAATCAATTTTGTATAAACTGAGGTGTGTGGGCCTCCTTCTAAGGGCAGATGGGTGGGGCCCATTAGGGGAAATAGAGGAAAACATCAAATATCCTTCTCCTTTTGTACCGATGAAGGGATTTTGACCAAATTTGGTCTGGAGCATCATTGGCCAAAGGGTTCTCAGTTTTGTATGAACGGAGGGTATGGTCCCCCTGGGGGCAGAGGGACGGGGCCAAATAGGGGAAAATAGGTAAATCTTTAAAAATCTTCTCCTCAACCAATTGAAGGATTTTGACCAAATTTGTCCTAGAGCATCTTTGGACAAAGGAGACTCAAGTTTGTATAAACGGAGGGTGTGGGCCTTCTGGCGGCATAGGAGCGGGGCCCAATAGGGGAAATAGAGGATTTTTTTTCTCCTACTATACAAGTGAAGGGATTTAAACCAAATGCAGTCTGAAGCATGCTAAGGGAGAAAAGACTCAATTTTGTTTAAACTGAGGTGTGTGGATTTCCCTTCTTTGGGGCAGATTAGGGGAGCCCATTAGGGGAAATAGAGGAAAACATTAAAGATCCTTCTCCTTCTGTACCGTTGAAGGGATTTTAACCTAACCAAATTAAACTTGTTTTAGAGAATCTTTGGGCAAAGGGAATTGAATATTTATAAATGGAAGATGCAACTTTGTTACTTGTACTCCTTTGATAAACCTGAATGGTACTCAGCATGTTTTAAATTGAAAAATAAAATACCAGGTGAGCTATTAAGGCCCCTGGGCCTCTTGTTTATAGCATGTCAGCTAACCTCTATTAGAATGATGCAGATCTTATTTCAATGTAAGAAAGTATAAAACACTATATGGCATTCGTCGGGCGTATATCGTTCTGCCCCACGGTACTCTTGTTTTCTCATTTTATTCAAAGCCGCAGTTTTTCTGTTAAGATACAGATGAAGTGATAGAAAAATGAACGTTTTCGTACATCTTGATGCTACATACTCTCAGGTATTGATTTATCTACACATTGCATTGACACCATTTGAATCTTCCCAAGTAATAGAAAATTGGCAGAATTGTGTTAAAAAGCGCACTGCCTAATCAACTGTCATGTCATTGGATTTACTAATGTATTATATCCCTAACTAACATGATGTAGTCACTTTTTTGTTGTCTATAGGTAGTTTTGAAATATTAAAAATAGAAAATTTAATGTTTTACCTGTGGAATACCATATATATTTCACTTGTACAGCGGCAGAATCACGATATTTTCACCTGTGGTTCGTACTCGTGAACAATATTGGTATTCTGCCATAAGAGAAAAATATACATAATAATTATATTCATTGGGATACCTTCAAATAACCTCCATCTAGTCCACTAGCTAGACCTAGCTTATTACCCTATCAGTTAAATAATGAACGATTCTATAATGTACCGTCTGTGAAAAGTTTATTTGATACAGTTTCAGTTGTTGATATATGATTACATGTACTTGTACTCAATCGATCTTTACAACACAATTTAATATATTTCCCAACCAATTCTTTCGCTATTGAGGTATTCTTTTTACATCTTTTACACTTTTTAACTTGCTATTTTTGTTTGATGTTTTATTGTTTGTAATTGTCTATCTTTAAGGTTATATCGCCCTAAATAACTTTCATTGTTGATGGGCCGTTAAACAATACAAAAACAAACAAAACATCCAGCTTTATCAAAGAATTCAATACGGGCAAAATAATACATTTAAATATATATTCCAATTCAAGGGGAGTAACTCAATAATCCCAAAAATTACTCTATCTTGCATTTGGCAATTCATTATAGCTGATACTTTGAATTCTGATGTTATAAACTTATTACCCAATCAAATTTCCTTAGCATCTGACACATGAACGGGACAGCTATCTATGGAAACCATTTATCATCGATTAATTTATATTTTTAGTTTCATATGTCATTTGAGTGTCTAAATACGCCTGGAGTGTATCGCGATATATTGCAATGCAAATTAAAAGGAATGCATTGCGTCACATATCCAATAGTATAGTCCATGGAGATAGATGCTCAATTTAAAAAGAAATAATCGTCAGAAGGGTATCAAACTGAACAATATACAATATGATTGCAATTTGATTATATAATCGCGACCTGGCCACCGATCACTGATTTATAACTTAATTGATATATTACCTATACATGTGCCAAAACAAAAATATCTGACCAGGTGGTCGGTCAAAATATTAATCCGTAATTGCAGTTTCAATCCACCCTCCGCATTCTGATCGATCAGTACAACTGAACTTTCGTCATTACTCAAGAAAACATCTACTGCTTTGCGGCCTACACACTTGTCTCTGCTTTGCAATTGAACTTACTAATTGATAATGAATATTAAGTAAATAAAAGAAAGATATATATACCATTATTCATCTCCAGATTTGCAAATATATATCGCTATATAAGGCCATCGTTGTTCCGTATCAACGACTTGACTGTGTTTGTAGTGATTTTTACCAATGTTGACTCGGATAGTTCGAACTACTCTTTATTGTAGCGGCTACAATTTCATGTAATTCGAACAGGATTGACAATATATATATATTTTGTTTTTTTAAACTACCTTCAACTATAGAATTTAAACTGATTCCCACCACCAGTACAAACCTGGGTGTGGTGATTGGTAATCTGTTAGAATGTGCAGGAATGGACAATATTAAAACACTAAGTGGACACATCAAATAAGCTTTTGAAAAAATATTGCACTTCAGCGACATTTCAGTTCTTTATTACAATACAATACAATGGCTGTGAATTGCAATATACTGGTTTATGACATCAGCCTTCAACAACTCCAGATGAGATTGCTAATCCATCGCACATATACGCCTACCTGTTTATGTATTGTATACACATTATTTTACCAAACATGGGTGTAGAGCAGTTCCCATCATCTCCTCGTGTTACCTATGCTCTGTACCTTCAGCAGTAATAGTCTTGTACACTCTGAACGAATCTATATACTGAAGTGTCCCATATGGAATACAATGTACTGTGTGTACTGTACCACAAGCTTATAGCCCAATATCATCAGATGGTAGACTGTTCAAGACGCCTTCGTCCATGGTCCATCGGTCATTGGTCTGCCCTAAAACAATCCTTGTGCTTTTCAAAAAGTACTGGAGAGATCTTCCTCAAATATTTCACATGAAGATTCCCCATTGCCCTTAATTATGCATATCAAATTTTAGGATTGATTTGAAAACCAATATGGGCGTATCTTGAATTTTGATAGTTCAGATTTGTTATCGCTTTTTCTCAAAAAGTATCTCTGGGATCAATTTTTGGGTTGATCAGAAAACCAAGATGGTCAACAAGGGGCCATCTTGAATTTTGAGAGTTTGTTAGCTCTATTTATCAGACAGTACTTGATGGACCTTTCTCAAATTCACATTAGGATTCCCATGTACCCTTAGATATAGTGATGCATATCAAATTGTCAAGATGACTGACAGGTTGGTATGTTGAATTTTGAGAATTAGAGGTTGTAAGGGCTATTTCTCAGGAAACCTGGTTTGATCTACCTCAAGTTCTACATGAAGGTTTCCAGTGGTCTGTCAGTGTACAGACACTGGTTAGAAAAACAGGATGGCCACTATAGATAGCCGTCTTGAATTTGGTATTTCAATTTGGTTATCGCTTTTCTCAAGAATTATTAGATAGATCTTTATCAAATTTATATGTTCATTTTCTTTGTATATAGTTAATTTGTGCATGTTCATTTTGAGGCAGAAGTGATATATCTCTACATACATTGTATTTCCCCAAAAAGTACTAGACAGATCTTTTTCAAATTTCAATCTTAGGTTCGCCTTTTTACACATTAAGTACTACGCTAGTAAATAGTCCAAGTAAAACCTCACTTTGAAAGAACAATGTTATAGGTACATATCAATTTGAAGCGTAGATCAAAAGTTACCACAAGGTGGATTTATTGTTAACATGACTCAATCCAACAGATAAGAGAAAAGAAAAGATAAATACCGCATAGAACCTAGGATGATGGTACGATAGTGAGCTACAAGATCTACCACACATAGGATCCGCGATGGTACATGTACGATAGTGAGCTACAAGATCTACCACACATAGGGTCCGCGATGGTACATGTACGATAGGGAGCTACAAGATCTACCACACATAGGGGCCGCGATGGTACATGTGCGATAGTGAGCTACAAGATCTACCACACATAGGGGCAGCGATGGTACATGTACGATGGTGAGCTACAAGATCTACCACACATAGGGTCTGCGATGGTATATGCACGATAGTGAGCTACAAGATCTACCACACATAGGGGCCGTGATGGTACATTTACGATAGTGAGCTACAAGATCTACCACACATAGGATCCGTGATGGTACATGTACGATAGTGAGCTACAAGATCTACCACACATAGGGTCTGCGATGGTATATGTACGATAGTGAGCTACAAGATCTACCACACATAGGATCCGCGATGGTACATGTACGATAGTGAGCTACAAGATCTACCACACATAGGGTCCGCGATAGTACATGTACGATAGTGAGCTACAAGATCTACCACACAAAGGGGCCACGATGGTACATGTACGATAGTGAGCTACAAGATCTACCACACGTAGGGGCAGCGATGGTACATGTGCGATAGTGAGCTACAAGATCTACCACACATAGGGTCCGCGATGGGACATGTACGATAGTGAGCTACAAGATCTACCACACAAAGGGGCCACGATGGTACATGTACGATAGTGAGCTACAAGATCTACCACACAAAGGGGCCACGATGGTACATGTACGATTGTGAGCTACAAGATCTACCACATAAAGGGGCCGCGATGGTACATGTACGATAGTGAGCTACAAGATCTACCACACATAGGGGCCGCGATGGTACATGTACGATAGTGAGCTACAAGATCTACCACACATAGGGGCCGCGATGGTACATGTACGATAGTGAGCTACAAGATCCTTCTTGGATCTTTTGTTAACACTGGCTATAGCTCAATGACCTATGACATAGATATAGAAATAATTTGATTGGACGATATGGTCACTGTCATTGATATTACTATCCCTTAAAGTGTTTATAGGGCTTGTTCACATTTAGTTTTGTGATGTATACTTATCCAAGAAATCTCCAAATAAAGCAGTTCATATATCTAGTATTTTAATGAAGATGGTCAGATAATATCAACAAAGGGTTGCACTTCATGATCAACCCACTTTGGGTCCAAAAATTCCCATCAGAGAAGATCATAGAGTGGAGGCTGTCCTCACGACTTTGTACAGGACGTACATATTATATTCATGCGTACTTGTTTAGGCAAGAGGATCAGTCATTTTGCCATTCATGTGACAACATATGACTTTGCTTCACGTTTTGATTGAATGTGCCAATTTTTAACAGATTCGAGACAATTTTATGATATGCCTGGTATGAAAACTTAATCCCATGCAGTTAATTTGTCACACATTGTCGAATATCTATGTGAAATTTGTCTATATCATAAAATTAGACATTTACAAAAATACATTTTAAAATGATAAGTGACCATTTCGCTGTGTGTATGCATTTTTTAACGTTTTACCATTCACTTTCCTTTTGGCGTATTCAGTTTTGTAAATTTCCTTTATTGTTGTCAGGCCCGATACATCTCTAGGCCGTTAAGCAAATAACCAACCAGTTTATCAGTTTCAAATTGAAGTTCAAAGTTTGTAACAGTACGCTTTTTATTGTTTTTCAATATTTTTCTATAAAATGTTTGATACCATTCTTGTGTGATAGAGTAAATAATCCCATGTTTGAACACAATTTCTTTCAGATATTTTTCTTTGCAAGCTACAGATCCACTTGGTTTTGATGATAAAAAAAGGTTTGAGATAGAAGAAAATATATGTCGGGAAGAAGGTCCACTTCCAGATTGTTTTGCCAAACCACGAGATATCGTCCTTAAGACTATAGAGAAGGTAATTCTCTAAAAACACTGTTCTACTTAAAAAAAAATCTAGATGATAAGATAAGCTGTAAGAATTTAGAAGTCGCAGTGTAATTCTGTTTATTTCGTTTGAAAGTCTGAAGAATTCTGATTAAATTTTACCTCATTATTTCAATAAATTAACCTCATTATTTCGATAAATGTTACCTCACTATTTCAATACAAGTGATGCTGAGTTGATGCTGTACCTTTGGTATTTGTATCAGTGACTGTCAGTACATATCCCACTTGAAGTATTTTTAAGTTTTTTGAAGGGTTAGTTTTTAGCTCACCTGGCCAAGCCATTCATCATCATGATAATTTGTTCCTTGAAAACACTTCTAATGAAGACTATTATAGCAATGTTTGCATTTTTTCTGAGAATTTGTCTCTGATGTAAATTTTGTGTATTTGTGTATTTCAGGCATACTTTAAGGCCTACCTACAGAGTGATGTATATTACAAGTATCTATCTGAGCTGGTTAGCACAGTGGAAACGGCCAACTACCCACCTCGACAACGTAAACGCACCGGTCAGTACACTGCAGAAAATCCATGATAGAAGACTTAATAAACAACAGCTGATTTCCAAAGGGGAAAAGGATACAATGTAGAACAAATGTCACTCAAAGTCCCAATATTTCGGCCTCCTGGCCTTCTTCAAGGGCGAAAGTCAACGATTGGTTCAAGTGATGTCCATCTTGCCTCTTCAGAGGTTTGAAATCAGTTGTTGCCTTTCACCCTTGAAGAAGGCCGGCCAGGAGGCCAAAATATTGGGACTTAGAGTGACATTGTGCTATTCGTTATTTTTCGTGATAGAAGAGTTAAAATGACATGTTGTGTATCCCTGAAAAAATGTAGATATTGTTATTAGAGGAGGGGTACTGTCTACAGAGAAGACAATAATTTTGAAAATGCTTATGCATCATTAATGCAAAAACTGTTAATATGACAATATAGCTAGATTGCAACTCCATATATACCAACTTAAATGATTGACCTATGAAAAATAGTGTTAATCTATTAACCCATTAAATTGAAGCTAGTCGTTTGACTCATTTTACTCTAAACTTTAAATAATCTGACCTGAAAATTGATGAAATTACCACTTTTACTGAAAATTGATGAAATTACCACTTTTACTGATAGTTGATGAAATTACCACTGTTACTGAAAATTGATGAAATTACCACTTTTACTGAAAATTGATGAAATTACCACTTTTACTGATAGTTGATGAAATTACCACTTTTACTGATAATTGATGAAATTACCACTTTTACTGATAATTGATGAAATTACCACTTTTACTGATAATTTTACCATTAACTGCATTGAAATAACATTTCTAATTATAGCTTACAATTAAGTTTATAATTAAGTAAAGGGTACCAACAAGCTTAACTACTTAGTTTCCGGTATTATTATTGTCACTTTTGTGAAATATTTACATGAGTTCTTTTTCAAACAAATTATTCGATAAAATCCCAGGCTCCAAGTAATTTTATTGAATTTCAGTTTTTCAAAATTTGCTGTTTTGAAAAAGAAGTAAATAAGAAAGAAAGGAGAAAATTTGTGGAGGTTAATTATAAACACAGGAGCTTCACATTGAAAAACCGACACTTGTAACTATACTGTTGTCATCTACTAATTATCAATGAACTGCACAAAATGAAAGTCTAATTTATGGGCGACAGAATGTATGGAAAAACAATGAATATTGAAAAATACGTAATTTAACAAGGGAATCAACTCTCGCCGAAAACAAGCCATTCAGATCGATATGTCTCGCCTGTGCCCCACTTTGACCATCAATGCACATGTCAAGTTTGGTTGGTCTAGCACTTAACGCTTCAGGGAAACTAACTTAAACGCAAAAACCTTATGTTGATGGAGATGCTGACAAAGTCAATGGACCATGAAAGGTAGGCCGCATCCAGCATTTGATGTATGGGTTGAGATGTACTACCTTATAAGATGCGATTCTTTGGTCCAAGTTTGGTTGGTGTAGCACTAAGTCTTATAGATTCAGAGAAACTAACTTAAATGCAAAAATNTTAAATTGCCGTTTCTTTATTCACAGCCAGTGATGCCTCCTCAGAACACAGCAGTCACAGTGCTGGAAGTGAAAGTCGATCGTCCAAAAACACCTACCTGGCCACAGACACGAGTCATCTACGTCACAGCATGAACAAGCTCGACACTGCCATGAACCTTGATCCTGGGCTCCTGAACCCTGACCTTTTATGGAAAAGACACAGTCCAAAGTAAATTTCTGCTGAAATAATAATTTGTTTTCCCTGCATGTATAATGTACATCACTTGAGTTAATGTAGCTATTTGCACTATGGCCAACTAGCAGTTGGTCTGCATACATGTCTCTACTACCGGGTATATTTTATATAACGAAAATAAACGTGTAATGGCTTTGCTTTACACTGTATACTGGTTCTTAAGGCCGATAATAATAAAGCGTTTACCTAGATCCCAATCCAATTTTTAAGTGTTGATGGGTTTGTAGGTTGGTAGGTACATGTAGGTAGGTAGGGAAAACATTTTATCAGTGCCCCACATCAGAGATACGAGTGCCGTATAATAATCATGGTGCCCGTCTGTCCATCTGTCTACACATTCATTTACAGTGATTATCTCTGAATTCTAAAACTTTTAGAAATTTGACACGGTGATACACTGTGATATATTTATGTGCAAGGTCGGGTTACTATTACTGAAAAAGACCAAGGTTGGGGAGGGGAAGGGGGGAGGGGGGGTTATACGGTCAGGCACATGGTGAGTCTGTCAGTGTTTTAGTTAAATTTTATCAAATGTTCCTCTTTTCCATGGTTTGAACACTCTTTTTACTGGTTTGAATCTTGATTTAATCCTTTAAACCTTTGTTTTAACTATTAAAGGATAATGTGCAGGGTTATACCTACTCAGGAGTAAGAAGATCCAATGTTTTGGTTAAAGAGAAAACAAACAATAAATGATGGACAACTGACTAAATTTTAGAAATATTAATACAAAAAAAAAGGCAAAATTTTAATGAAATTAGGTGATGGGTGATTTTTCTCATTTGCTTGGGTTTTAGCAAACAATGAATGTGTTATTTGAGGCCTTAACTTTGTATGGCTTTTCAAAATATTTTATAGCTCTACTGAATTGTAAGTATTGTATACCGGGTAGTTTACTAATTATTTTTTGACTCAAAATAACAAGTGTTGTTTGGTCCATTGGGAGTTTATCTTAAGAAATTCATTGCTTAATTTGTTCGCATGTTCTCAGCTTCAGTTTGCACTCTTTTGGTATACATGTATCACATTCAAAATTTTAGAAAAAAAACACCAGGTGAAAGCTATAACATTATTTGCTGTAATGAGCGCCCTTCCTTTTTCTGTTTTTAGATGAATTGAAATTATATTGACCCCATCTGAGTACTTACCGGGCCTGGTCAATGTTTTATAGTACTTTAAAGCACATATATACAATACTTACAAGTCTGGTGACCATAGCTGGACTTGCTGTAAAGCGGATTAAACATTTGATTTCCAAACCTCCAGCCACACTGGAATGTTTAGAATGTCCTTTGATAATCGAAAACGGTTCAACTTTACTGTGTAACTCATATTTTTTCATTCTAATAGGCGCCCAATTTTAATCCAGTTTCTTTTGTATACCTGGTATTACCGTAAATCAGGATATTTTTATGCAGGTTAATTTTTGGGAATATCTCAAAAACAGCTGTAGTTTAATTTTTACCTGTCCATCTTCCCGAATCGGGGCTATGTGCAAAAATATGTTGACACATATACATGTACAGGGTTGAAAATTTGTAAAATATACTGGTCATGAAATTTTCATGTTCGGCCAGAATCAGACTCTACTATTGCATGCACTTCAAAAAGGGTGGAAGGGTAACTCAAGAGTATCTGTACATGTTTGTGCGGAGTCAGCACATTTTTCTTCAGTGACCAGGACTAGCTGATTATTTTTACTGGTAATCCACCCTGCACCACAACGATAGAACCTCCCAGATTACTGTGACAGGTTCAGACCTCGCCAGCTTTTGTAAAAACAATTCAGGAAAACTGGTGCCCTGATACAAGGATAAAGCTTATTTGACACTTACTGTTTACAGTCGGTAGATTTGTACGTGTTTTATTTTTTGGGAATTTGAATCTTGCACAAAACACAAAGACTCGCACATTGAAAATATCCCAATTTGCAGTATATGGGTATATCCACGAAAAATTTAGACAGCACATATTTACATGACAAAGTATGTCCCTCAACTAGCTATGGTACTATACAAATATATAATTTTTTTTGGAAAAGTTCTAATAAACATGTTTTCAAGGTTTTCCATATAAATAGTTTTCTCTATAATAAAACATTTTGTTAACTTTTTTTTTCTCAGAATAAAACAGTTGTAGAAATTTATTTTGCTCCTAAAGATCTTTTAATCATTATGAATACCATACTTGCTTGCAATAAGCCAAAAGGCCAAACGCTAAATCTCAAACTCAAATGGAAGATGTGATTAAAACAGGAGAGTTAAATAATAATTTGGCATTTCTACTGAACTACATTAAAAATGGGTTGACTTATTACCAGGCATGAGCTTATTGCTCGATAATACAGTATTATTCCTTTTTGCTAATATCAAGGCCAACAACAAGTTGAAATATCTGCTTTCTTAATTCGTAAAAATAAATAAAGTTTATATGTTACATATTTCCTTTATCTTATATTTACAGAATGAGCTTGGGAAAGGTGGACACCCTTGGGGAGTTCGTGTCAGAGTTTGACCCCAACCCAGACCAAGAGAAAGTCAAAGGTACCAGTATATAAGCATTTACTGAAAAACGCCAGTATAGTTGGTGATGTTAAACTTTTCTTGAGGTTCTGTGTCCTGCTGGGTGTCTTCGGCAGTATGTTTCAGTGAGGTAGCACTATAAAGTCGGCATCAGTTCCGCGCTATCACAAGGAGACAAACACGAACATATCGTAGCCTCCCAAAACATACACACATACACTACATACATGCATCTTGCATACAGGGGAGGCCGTCCTTAAGGTGGCTCTACCCTTTTGCAATTAGCCAGCAGAATTCAATGAAAGTTTCACATAATGGTTATGTCAATATGTATAGATGATTTAACTGGTAAAAAAATACCAAAAAATTATTTTTTTGTCAAATTCAACACTTTCACATTTTTTGAGTGTGTGGCATTGTTCAAAACTATTACAACAATAAAATAATGAAAAGAAACATTGCATATTAACCCTACAAATATTTTATTTATCATTGAATATCTACAACATGTTACAAAAAGCGTTTTTTATTGAAATTGTATGGACAAAAGTTACTAAATACAAGCTAAAAGCAAACAGGACACATAGTTTCATACAAAAAGAATGAAAAATTGAACAAAATACACACAAATCTTTATAATCATTTATTTTACATTTTACAATAATTTTGATCCTGATGAGAGTTGTGTACCTTGAAAAAAAATCGGAACTTTTTGCAGAGGGATAGAATTTATACAATGTCACTTTTTTTCTTAGAAAACGACGGAAATAAATTAAATTACTATATTTAATTGTCAATTTACTGTTCTTTTATGGAACAAAATTACTCTCAACATGTACACTTTGGACATCATTCCATAGCCCGCTCATGCATGGTATATTTACATGTCAGGTACATATGTAAGGGCATAGGCTATCGCATGGTATGCCGTTATCGCGTGCAAACATGCACTTAAATTTTATAGGGATCTTGATATTTTACAAACCACTATTTTCACAGAGTTATTGTAATTGCATTTGTGAAAAGATTTAACTGACAGAGCGTAACTCGCTCGACAACAAAAGTCGTAGCGACCAAGAGCTTGTGAACTACTGTTAGCACGTGATACGTACTGGTGAGGTCGGTAAACAAAACACATCAGTCTGCATTCCATGCACCTCATATACGACCTTCTTCAAGTCGTTTGATCTTATGTCAGTGTTTTCCCATGAGTTAATTAATGTCTTTGTATCATAAGCTTTTTTTTAGAAAAATGTGTTAAGTTAAGTATCGATATCGGGTGTTGACATATCGCATCATGCACGTGTTCTATTGTTTACCCAGTGTTACTATAATTTACACTACGGTAATGGAATGCCCGATACGCAATATGGAAATGACGACACGAAAACACGCCAAGAAAAACATGTGTATTATGAAGGGTGGGAAGTCCTTAAATGACCATAGCTGTTGATAGGACGTTAAACAATACTAAACCAAACTAAACCAATCTTGAGCTTCTATTGTTATTCTTTTTTTCCTTAAGCAAATCAATGTTCAATGTTTTAAGGAGACACGGTAGTCTAGTGGCATGGTAGGACGCCGGGCTCGTGACTGAAGGGTTGCAGGTTCGAGTCACGGCACGGCACTGTGTTCAATTTTTCAGCAAGATACTTTACTCAGCTTGTTCCAGTCTACTCAGCTGTAAATGAGTACGTGGTTAGGTAGTACTAGAATTGTTGAATGCTAGTTGTGAGCGCTGAAATGGCCGCAATGGCTGTATGCTCCCCAGGGAGTTGAGAAAAATATTGGCTGGTTGCAAAGGCCCTATAACAATGGATAATAATTTGTGAACCGCTTTGAGACAACCTACGAACTAGGTTGTGATAAAGCGGTATACTCCAATTATTATTATCATTATTATTCAACTTTATGACTCTTAAGATATATCAGGTTTGAAGGAGCCCTTGTGGATATTAAATTTCCCCTGGCTTTCAAATTTCTTGTTGGAAATACAAAATATACGCAAGTTTTGACAAATTTAAAGATACCTGGATTTTAGTTTGTGTTAATTTTGTTTTCCTATTTCAGCATCTGGACTCTTTAAGAGAAAGAAAGCAAAAGAAAAGGTAATAAACGTTTAATAAGGACATTTCAGATATAATTCTGATTTTGTCCTTAATTTGATATCTTGGATAGCTATAACTGGAAATAATCTTGTTCGGAAGGTAAGTAATGGACATGTATCTCTAATGATCTAACAAAAGAAATATTTTCGAGAGGTAACCATGATACTTTAGAATTGTTCATACTGTTATCAATATACCATTTGTTTTGTTTTGTTTTGTTTTTTACCAAGCCTGCAAAATTTTATCAAATTTCTTCTATGACCGTGATTAATCAATGCTGTTTTTTTGCAGGAACAAGAAGATATGGCATTAAAGATAGCCCAGATGATTATAAATGATGTGACCTCAGTCACACAGACAATTGGTGCGCTAAAAAACCCACAGCAAGATCGGGATGACGGAAGCTAGCGATGTGTCGTGACTGCACGCCAATGTATGCGGGAGACCTATTCTGTGTTTTAAAAAGCTTGTAATCTGTGGTTAATTGATCTTCAATCATACAACAGTGGCAGAAACTGGTGTAGACTTTAAACAAAAATTTGAATTGGTCAATCTTTAAAGTTTAAAATATGTAAATGTATTTCATACCTGTGTGATGTTTTCTGGCCCGGTTTTCTGGAACTCCGCATTGCTCGAACATGTTTGATTACTTGGTAACACACATACAGTATGTATCACAACATATCATAATACATGGATGGGACTCATTGGTTTTATTAACTAATCAAATGACTAGGTTAAAACTTCATTAAGTTCAAAGTTATTTGTTAGTCTCTGATGCTATGATCATGTGATGAAGGTTTTTTGTTAACAGCATTGTCGTGTTGGCCATTACAATTTGACTCGGGTTTTGAGAAATCTGTGATGGTAAATTAGATTTTTTTATTTTTTTTTAACAGAAATTTGTTGAAGTTCAGGAAATGAAGCTTAACCCTTTCACCCCTATGTAGCTTTCGTAGACTCTACCATGCATTGATATGGATGAGTCCATTGAAGTCTACAGTGGTGAAAGGGTTAAGCAAAACTCCACACCTTCATTTATAATGTGGATAGTTCTCTTTATGAGCAGATGTATGTGTACACTTGTCTACGAAGCACACTCGTAGCGTATCCATTTGCACCACATACTTGCATTACTTGCATTATTGGATACAAAGTTATGTTCCAGTATTTAGATCTTAAACCTTTCACCCTTAGGTAACTATATATAGTAGACTCTACCATGCATTTATGGGGATGAGTCCATTACGGTCTACAGTGGTGAAAGGGTTAACAATCACATTCATGTTATGCAGTACCAATATATAAAGGATCTCAAAGATGTTCAAAATTCAGCAAACACGAGTCAAAGTCTTGATGTTTCAAAGTTTTCCTGATTGTCCCACAATTAGTTCAAAATATTTTAAGTTTGACTGTTTCGCCGACACTGTAAGAGATATAACAACAACCTAACCCTCGATGAAAGTCAATATTTATACAAAGTGGGTGATTTACAGCATATATGTGGTATATGTAGGTTCTAACTTGTGACAGATATTTCATGTCGTATGTTGTAGGACAGGGCACGCCTCATCAAATTGTCTTCCTCCATCGATTGTTTTGTAATTTATTCCATTAACAAACACAATATATCTCATACACTAGTGCATCTTGATTTCAAGGTTTAGAATATGAACTTCCTGTCAAATTTGTATTGTGTCTAGTATATATATAAATGGCATACAATGATGATGTCACAAAGACAGTCTTTCATATTCACCTGAAAAGCTTAATGAAGCAGGCTGATCATACCAGGTAGTATGCCCACCTGTATTACCGTAAACACTCGTGTAATTTGCGCAGTTTTAGTTTGTTTTGAAAATAAGTTTGAAGTTGGTGATGCACGAATTACATAGCTTTTAGATCTTATCGGGGTTATGATTTTCTTCAGAACGAGTGTCCATTTGAAAAAAAATAAAACTCTTGTAAATTGCGTAGTTTTTTGTTTTGAAATTAAGTTTGATGTTCAAGAAACAGCAGCTTTTATTTTGCGTTTGGTTTGAATTCCCCCTTGGGGGATCTTGGTTCAGATCTGACTCTGCTAGTGAAAACTGGTTTGTGATTTAAGATATAAAATTAAATACCATCAGAAAGACATCGTATTTTCAACATAAGTTTCAGTTACATTTATGTACATGTATATGCATATAAGAGACCTATGAATTATTTCTTTAAACCAAAGTTTCCATACATTCATGTATCCAAGACAAATGGTTCTGTAAAGTGGGATTTTGTGTCAGTGGGAAATCAAGGCATATATGTACATCTATTTCATGTTATATAAAAATACAGAGGATTTCACTTAATATCACACTGTTTAATGTCACACTTCGGTTATTATCATTTTTTTCACGAAAGCATTATTTTCCTTTTATATATTGAATGTACTAAGGTTTGCTATATATTATGTGAATCAACAGGAACTTCTCTTTATATCATGTTGTTCTGACAGTTGTCCTATAAATTCCAAAAAAAAGGTAAAGTGGATATACAAAAACAACGGTAACTTCTCATGTTAACTGCCCAGCAGGTTCACACATTAGTTTGGTTATAAACAATACACTAAGCACCTGTTAAAGAGATGTCCCAGCTTTGTATGTTATGACAAGAGAGTATTAATTTTAGCATTTGAACTCGCCTTTCTGTTAATGTCACATTTCTGTTAATATCCCATTTCTCTTTATATCATATTTCACTTTATATCAAATTTTGTACGATATCACATTTTCTTATGGTAAATGAACTATAATATGTTGTCAGGAGGGCCCAATAAGTCCTAACAATTTTATGTAAGGAATACTGGTTTGTTTGTTTCTAAATTTTTATTATCTGGAAAATACTGTTTCCATTGTTTTGGAGCTAGGCTTAAGAATGGTCCATCGATCATTTCAGGGTATAATAGCTCTGTGTACAGTTACTGCATATAGAGGAAAGCTATGATTGTGGTGATGTAACTATTAGTCTCACATTGAAAACAGTTAATTTTCACATATTGTGCAATTTTTGTTAAACATTTATGTCACAAAACCTTATCAGGAAAATATTGTAAACCTGTGAAACTTTTCGCCAAGTCAAACTTTCACCTTTCACCGGTAAAATACATAGTTTCTGGGTATTACATGTTATTTAACGCTTCATATTTGATTACTATATGTTTTATTTTGTTTCCTTATGTTCTTAGTAATTATGATTTTGTCCTCATTTATAAGGGCGAAAAAAGCACCAAAGTTAAAATGTGGCAATAATTTCCCTGTATTTAGTATGCTGTGCAACACTTTTAGGTTCTATTACAAAATAAGACGTGACTGAAAGGATGTAGAATACAGTTGCTGAAACATGTACCTAACATGGTTTCTTTTCTTTATTTCTGGAGTGTTCTATTAAGAAAACAGCATTTTATCTGACAATCAATTGTACTAACACACCAAGAGATTAAATTTTTATTGTCAAAATATCGTTCAATATCGGCTGTCTGTGAGTAGTGCTTAATTACTAAATCAAGGTTGGACCAGTGAAAGTTTGACAGATTATTCTTAGAAATGTATATGAAAGGTCAAGGCTGAGACCAAGCTCACTTAATTTTTTATTTTATTTAGAATGGAAAAACATGTATTTTATGACTATGGTTCATTTGGTGTACAAACATAGTTGCAATAACNATTTTTAAAGTAATTACAAAATTGAGGTAACAAAAAGACTCCTATACACAAAGAAGAGTTCCACTTCAGTGCTGGAGTATTCTCCCTTGTATATATAGAAGATTTGACAACAAAAAGGACAATTTCTTAGTTAGAATTACTCTCCATGGCAAGGTAGTTATCTTTTATTTTTACTGGTAATCTGTTATAACTGGACAAAAAAAATCTTTTGTATATAATTGTATATAGATATAATATATCTGCCATTTAGATGACTGTTAAAGTCACTTACTACATACTATTTCAAACTAATTAACATAACCAGACTTTTTTTCACCTTTTCTTTGTTAATATTGACCAGTGTCTCCAACAGCCAGAGCAACGGAAAAATGAATGATGTTTATATTTACGTTAAGGTGTGATAGTATAATGGTTGATATGTCTGACAAAATATGTAGGTTGTGTTGGTGGAAATGCTTCTCTTTTCCTCTCTAAAACAAGAGGATTGATTTAGAACAGGAATAATAAAATTAATATTCTTTTATATCTTGGGCTTCAATGGGACACAAAGGATAATTAATGCAGACAAAAACACTTCTGGAAAATTCTAGGGCAACAATTTATCGGGAGAAAATATATCGGCTTGTAGTATTTAATTGGGGTGACTGTCTCACAGAAAGTGTTAGACAGCAAGCTAGGTAGCGTGATGAAATTAGTAAAAGTTTAAAACTGAGGATCTCTTCTTAATTGTTCACCACTGGTCAAGTTTTGTAATTTGTTTTTGCAACATTTCCACAAATGAATGGTATTTTCCAATGTGCTTTTTAATAGTGTCCTTCTTGAGGGTAATTGTTTTTAAAGGTCTCGTATACTATATCCTGCGCTGATTTTCAATCCGAATGTTATTGGATGGCACTTGTTTGTAGATTGTTCAGGTGTGGCTGTGTGGGTAGATTTTATGTATGCAATTTTTGTTATTGTTGTATTTTTTTTGTGATGGACAATGTTATGATTATTAAGTATACAAACATTAATATTTTGTTTGTGATTATAGGTTTGTTATTCTCTGATATTGACTATGCCATACACACTTAATCATTTCTAGACTATCATACAACACTTTATAATGCAACACTTCAGTTTAACAAAAGGAAATTAAACCATCTTTAATCAATGCATTTTTTCTATGCTTACGGAAAAGAAAGATTTTTGTTTTCTTAGCAAACAAGTGTTTAAATGTGTATCAAAGCAGAATCCCTCAACTGTTTAGGGTTCTTAGGGGTCAATCTACCTGCAGTGTAAATTTGTAACAGTAAACCTGTGAGTTTAGTAGGAGTTATCTCCCCTACACAACTACCAATTCAAACATACAGACATTCGACATTTTTAACAGATATATAAAATTCATTTGAGATGGGTTTTTTAAGATGCATACATTTTTTTTCAGGATGGAGCTTTTATAGCGGAAAAAATATGTTTTAGAGAAACTTTAAAGTATATCCTTAATACAGTAGCTCTGTTTTGTGACAAAGAACAAATAACACTTCTGAAACATTTTTATAATCATGGATGCTCAAATTAGGAATGTGTATTTTTGGATCTAAACTGTTTGTCACGTCTTCATAGCTTGAATATATATGTATGCAAGGAAGGACTTGTTCTGAACTGTGCTAATTACAATATGAAATTTAGTCACTAAAACTCTAAAAAAAAAATCAAGAACAGGTATTTGTTCCTCGACTAATATCAAACATGATATCCTATTATAAACACTACATGATAATACTGTATATTTCATCTGGGAAATGTATAATAAATCAGATATTTATTGCATGGATGTTATTGATTGTGGTGTTCAAATCCTCGCAAATAAGTCGATATGAAGGGATGATGATTGCCAATTGCAAGTAAGAGGTTAACAGTGTTGCCCTGCAATGTAGCATTATTGTGGTAATTCTAATTAAGCCATATTGTGGTAATTCTAATTAAGCCAGATTGGGGTCATTCTTATTAAGCCATATTGTGGTCAAACCTGTGTATCGATTTGTTGTGATACCAATGTTGTTACATCATTGGGGAAAATTTCAATTGTGAACGTTTTGCCATGAACCAGCAAATTAGTATGAGAATGAACTGAAAAAGATAAACATGTTTAAAATGACAAGGAAAGGTCTGTTATTTATGATTTGGTCATCACATTTCCATCTTTCAATGATCAGGTGAAGAGAAACGCGTATAGTATATATTGTTTTTATCCTGCAAAAAGCCAAAGAGGCAGGGGTGGGGGGCTTATTGTAGGACAATGAAATCAGATTTGTTAATGTTTCGACTAAATTGTATTTGACTTCGGTATGCATATATCACCCGACACAGTTTCATTGCCGATAAGTACAGTACATGCACATATGCTTTTACTTCTTGATGGTAAGCAAATATTCTCACACATCCAAACATGATCTGTTTTTTTCTTCCAACTGAAAACTTCACACACTTTGCTTTATACCACGCGTCGACTTCTGTAATGCTGCTAGTCAAGTAGTGACTTGATATACGTTTTTAACATTTAAAATCCACAGTTTCCCCATGTCGATACAAGTTTTCTGCTCCGTTGGAATATGTAATGTCAAAAATGACGGCTCTGTTAATACCCTTTGCGGCTGAAAAGAGTTGACTAGACTGGAAACTGTTACGAAATCTAGCATACATGTGATTTCTTTGATACGAAATGAAAGGAATCGCACTGCAGCGAAACGGCAAAATCGATTGTCTTAGAACTTAGTGTAGTTCCAATGTAATGTTCGAAGGAAATGTATCGGCCGTGCGATAGGTCACGTTTTTGATGTCTGAAACCAATTAAATTTACTGTGAAACTTTGATATAGCCCAAGGGTGTTGGAGAAGATATGTATATATAATGCAAAACCCTTAGATTAGAAGATGTTTGATTTTAGGACACAAGACATGGGTCTTCAAAGATCTACGTTGTGTTTACGTGTTCTGGACTGATTGCTTACATGTATATTTGCCTATTTATGCTTTCTTCATTTACATTTCGAGGAGGAAGACTTCAGGATAGTTTATGACTGAAAAGAAAAGTGATGGTACATGTACAAATAGATCCAATAAATCCAGGGCTTGTCCTAACAAACCCTGTATTTGTACAGTAGCACTATATGTGTAGAGGTGTGCATGATGAAAATCTATTTTATAACGACATGGAGACTTAGTCTGCGTTACAAGCATTGATGTTTAAATGTGTAAGCTATTATTTGTTAGTATTCAAATGAGAATGTATTTTTGAAAAAAAGGATAAATTCATTTCATTCATGTTTTTAATGTATAAATTATTATGTTCGTTACAGAATCACTATTAAAATAATATGGATGTTTTACAAAAATGTTCATATATACATGTAATAAACTTTATAATCAAAATCAAATAAATACCATAAACAGCGTTGTTTTTTAGTTATTCTTATTTTCATTTAATACAAATGGTACCACTGCGTCAGTTATATTCGCGAAAACGGGCTTTTTCAGATTTTATTTCTACATATATATATGATGAAGCTAAATGTGTTTCTTTTGGTTACCATTTTTGAGTACCTTTAATTCCCATTTCAATGTTCATTGATTTGTGTATAGGTTTAGCAGCCCATGCATGGTAAAGTGTAGGCTTTGCAATGTAAACATCCAGAATTCTACCCCTGCATTTTTTCTGCTTTTTATTTTTTTATTTTCTGTTTACAAACATTAAAGTTGCGATCAACTGTAATTCTGTGAAATGCATTACAACAAATGTGTTTTATGGATTTTTTTTAAAAAGACTTTAACGAACATTTCAAAATAGTGACAGTGATAATAATATAGTTTAGCCTGTAGGAACCCTTTAATTTAAGTTGCTTTTGCCTTTTAGGATCCTACCCACTTCCCATTGCAACCAAGATATTTGCAAGATTGCTTAAAGAATTTATTTCTTCAAACGACTTATCCTTAGTTAAAAACCGCTGATTGGAATTCAACCAAATATTCCTAGGTAGTCTGGATTCACAAATTGTACAAATGGATTGTTTAACCCCCTAGGGGGCTGAAGGGCGGGGCCAAAAAAAAAAAGTTTGGTCATATTGCTTTAAACGACTTCTTCACAGAAACTAAACAAAGATATAAACCATCAACCATACATGTGTTTGGTTGAAAGCATCATAACGTTTGTTAAAGTATGCAATACTATAGGTTACAAACCGTTTGTTAAAGTGTGTAATACTATAGGTTACAAACCATTTGTTAAAGTATGTAATACTATAGGTTACAAACCGTTTGTTAGAGTGTGTAATACTATAGGTTACAAACCGTTTGTTAAAGTGTGTAATACTATAGGTTACAAACCGTTTATCAAAGTGTGTAATACTATAGGTTACAAACCATTTGTTAAAGTGTGTAATACTATAGGTTACTAACCGTTTGTCAAAGTGTGTAATACTATAGCTTCCAAACCGTTTGTTAAAGTGTGTAATACTAAAGGTTACAAACCGTTTGTTAAAGTGTGTAATACTCTAGGTTACAAACCGTTTGTTAAAGTATGTAATACTATAGGTTAAAAACCGTTTGTTAAAGTGTGTAATACTATTGGTTACAAACCGTTTGTTAAAGTATGTAATACTTAAGGTTACAAACCGTTTGTTAAAGTGTGTAATACTCTAGGTTACAAACCGTTTGTTAAAGTATGTAATACTTAAGGTTACAAACCGTTTGTTAAAGTTTGTAATACTAAAGGTTACAAATCGTTTGTTAAAGTGTGTAATACTATAGGTAACAAACCGTTTGTTAAAGTATGTAATACTTAAGGTTACAATCCGTTTGTTAAAGTTTGTAATACTAAAGGTTACAAATCGTTTGTTAAAGTGTGTAATACTATAGGTAACAAACCGTTTGTTAAAGTATGTAATACTATAGTTTACAAACCGTTTGTTAAAGTATGTAATACTATAGTTTACAAACCGTTTGT